CGGCATGGCCTAGCGCGTGATGTCCCCAAACTGTCTTCTCAGTGTGTGTCCAATCCAATCCAATCCATCTGAACTAACTTATGCATATTTGTTGGGGAAAGTTTTTGGCTTCGTTGGCTGGTTCGTTACCAGCAACAGCTCAGTGTTGCTCATTCTTATTATTTTGACCATCTGCTCGGTCCTCAATGTCGAGTGAGGGTAGGCGGCAACTTTTGATAAATGTCTTCAGTTTGTTGTAACTGCTCTTCGTAACGCATCAAGTCTCTCAATCATCACATAGATGCACTGGCTTGATTGGTATTTGTGTCGAAAATCCGGATCTTGTTCACGCCTTATTCCGTATGGAGTGCAGTGCAGTGCAGATCTCTACACTGATTATTTCAGATTAATGAAGGAAGGCCTCTCTTGCTGTATTTCCGATCCTGACTTCAACATTCTCATCTGTGCCTGCGCCGCTTGCAGTTGAAACGATGCTGCCTAACTAGGTAGGTGAAAGAGACTACTTTCTTTAGGTTTCTCCTGTTCATAGTGATCGGTACTTGTTGTTGTTTGTTGGGTATCTTCATCACCTCTGTCTTCTCTAATTTCACCTCAAGTGGGTCCTGTCCTTGCTGCCCTGCCTCTTCTGTCAACTTGTTGGTTTTCACCTGTAGATCTTCAAGTTCGTGTGACAAGACATTATACGTAAATCGTCACTGGCGAAAACCGAATCTTCTAAGGTATTTTCAACGGTTCAGCTTATGCCCATCTCTTCGCTCCTCGCGGTTTGCTGCATGATCCGGTCCATTCCAGTCCAGTAGACTATAATCAGGAAGACGGTCGGTGATATTAGGTGGCAACCGTGTCCTACCCTTGTCTTCACTTCAAATGTGTCAATGAATTTTTCATTTTGAATCGCTTGGCAGGCAGCGTCTTCATACAGTTCCTGAATGAGGTTGATAAGTGTTTGTAGTACTGCGTAATATTGAAGCAGTTTCCAAATTACTTCTCGGTCGACGCCTCGATAGAAGTCCTTTTCAAAATCGATGAGGTTGAGGTAGAGAGTTGATTGCCATTCTACGCTCTATTCTGTAATGATACGTAGCGTTGGCATTTGATCTACACGTGATTTGTTTTCCTGAAGACTGCCAGCCGGCCTTTTCCGGTGGTATTTTGAATCCAGAGCACCTTTAAGTCTAGCCAGGATGACGCTGTTTAATATTTTGCTACGTGTGAACAGCAGCATAATTCCTTACCAGTTCTTGCAAAGGCTTAGGTCTGCCTTCTCTGGGAGTTTGACAAAGTAGCTCTTCTTCCAATGGATGAGCAGGTACCTTTCCTTCCTTCATTCCTAGCAAACCTTCTGTAATAGTGGTGTGAGCATGTCTGCTGATGTTTCTCCTTCCGTTTTCAGTGATTCTGGTGGAATTCCACCCGGTCCTGCTGCTTTCCCAGATTTCAGCAACTTTATGGCGTTCAGGAATTCACTCCTGCTTTTGTCGGAGGGCTTGTGTTCACTGGTATTTCTGTGGTTCAGCCGCAGTTGGTATTTCTGGACGAGCTGCAGGTTGTGGTGGTGGTCGGTTCAAGAGTTTGTTGAAGTTGTCAGCTCATCGTTTCCTTCGCTTCTCCTCTTTGGTAACTTCACTTCCTTCATTATCTCTCATTGCTTTCATCTACGTTGATCTATTTCTTCCCATACTGCAACCTGGTTATTTGATATAATGTTGTCAGGTCTCTGTCTCTCTAACTGCAGCATGTTCTGCTTCACTTGCCAATGTGTCGTGTCTTTTGTCTTTCCGTGCACTCTTCTCCACTTCTTTCCCAGTGTAGTGTTTTATAGGTTGTACTCACTTCCTCTTTTCGTTGTTCATCCCTGCCCTTCACTGTACTACTTCATCTTTTGCTTCGTCTTCACCATCTTCCTCTCCCTGTTCTATCAGTTTCCATGTGTCCGTCGAGATCCAATTCTTGTCTTGCTTCTTCTTCATTCTCAACAAGGTTATACAGGTTTCCTTCCGCGTCTAGTTTCATAGAGTTCCAGTGTTCCTCCACACCGGTTTCCTCAGATATATTGCTTAATGCCTCCCATTTTGTTCTGATGGGTGATGTGAAGATGTCCCCTGCAGTGTTGCTCTTCAGTGCGGTTTCTGTTCTGGGTGTTCAACTTGAACTGTGGTCGTCTGTCACCAGCTTCTTTCAACTGAAGGCTTTCAGCTTGATTCTGGAGTTAGGCTGCTTGCACTAGATAGTGAGTGGTGTGAACCAACTACATCTGCTCCCCTTCTTGATCTTATGTCCAGTAGACTGACTGCGTTTACACTTCCTTCACATTGGGATGAAGTCAATCTGAGTTTTAGCGTGTCCATCTGGTGAAATCGAATCCATGTCGGTTTGTGAATATCCTTGTCTTTGTACACACTGCTTTCAATCACCCAATCGTAGAATGTTCAGGAGTCTGCAAACAGTTCTCCATTCTCATTCATCATCTCACTGATTGCTTCTCGACCCATGATGGGTACTCTTTCTATGTTGTCCACTACGAGTTTCGTACCCGTGTCACGCCACCCATTAAAATTAATTTGATGTTGCCATATGGGGTGGGGTCTTGTCCAGTACTGATTGCAATTGTCTCTAGAATTCCTCCTCCTCTTGATCCACATTATTTGTAAGTGCGTATCGTAGCATTGAATGGTTGGCACTTTCTTTCCTTTTGAGTTGAATCTTGCTATCATGATCCTGATCCTCTAAGATGTTCCTCAATGCCTCCCATTTCGTCTTGATGAGTGACGTGAAGATATCTCTTGTGGTTTCGTCCTTCACTTTCTCTTCTGAGTGATCAACTAGAACTGTAGTCGTCTATCACCAGTTTCCTTCAATTGAAGCATTTCAACTTGATTTTGAATGTAGGTTGCTTGCACTAGGTAGTGAGTGATTGGTGTGAACCACCTACATCTGCTCCTCTTCCTTCATCTTGTGTCCAGTAGACTGGTTGCATCTCCACTCTCTTCAGATTGAGATGAAGTCGATCTGAGTTTTAGTGTGTCCATGTGGTGAAATCAAATCCATGTGGATTTGTGAATATCCTTGTGTTTGTATACACTGCCCCGCCTCCAATCGCCCGATCGTAGAATGTGCAGAAATCTGCAAACAGTTCTCCATTCTCATTCATCATCTCACCGATTGCTTCTCGATTCATGATGAGTCTTCTTCCTATGTTGTCTGCTCCCAGTTTGGCATTCATGTCACCCCGCCCCACCCATTAGAGTGGATTTGATGTCGCCAACTGAGGGTGGTGTCTTTTCCAGTACTGATGGTAGTTGTCTCTGGAATTCTCCCCCCTCTCTTGACCCACATTATTTGTAGGTGCATAGCGTAGTGTAGCATTGTATGACTGTCACTTTCCTTCCTTTTCAGTTGAATCTTGCTATCATGATCGTGATGCTGCAGGAGGAGATTGGTTCCCCTTGCACGACAGAGAGACTTCGATGCTGTCGGGTCATCATGATAGCCACTTGAAAACTCAGTGTGCTGAGCTTATGGTTGTCGTCTGGGTGACAGTGTTGGAGTAGATTATTGACCCATCTCCAGTTGACAGTTTGCAGAGTCTACTTCCATTCCATCCACAGATTCCTAGCACTTCCATTCTATATCTTCTCATCTGTTTTGCAACCAGGGCAGCCTAGCCAGCGAGCCTGCCTCAAACATTGTTTGGACATTCCGTGTCCCCATTCTAACATTCACTTTCATCGAGAGAGAGGTGACACATCGACCAATTGGCTTCCCGAAGGCTTTCACTAACTGGCGTCCTTTCGCCTCTCTGACTCTAGCGAGGAATAAGTTTAATTTAATTTTTTATATTTACTTTTTGCTTCGAAGTTTCTTTTAATGATTGGATTGGTTTTCTGGGGTAAGGCTGCTAGCCCTATGCCCAACCTTCCGTTTTTATCCTGGCTTAAGACCGGCTAGTAACTAGTGAACTAGTTAATTAGGCGAGGTTCGACTCATATTAGCCGTAAACTACAGGTATCATACAACAAAACTAATTAAATAATGAACGATAAGTATGTAGCAGTAAGTAAAGCTAATCTATCGACAATGCATAAAAAGATTGCATGGCTTAAAATTGGGTAGTTGAGTGACATAGGCAAATTGATGCGGTTCCAGTACTTACGATAAATAGAATTGATAAACAAAACCTACTTCACAATTTATTTTATCCAGTTAACAAATAATCTGGCAGAAAATTGAAAATGTACAATAAAAATATACACTTGTATTTTGTATCTAGGGATAAAATATCCCCGAAAAATGTAAATTCTATAAACTGTAGTCGGTTCATAAGAACATTTCAACTATAAATTCGTCACCGCACCCAACTCAACTATCCCAGTCTCAAATTAGGCTACTCTTTAAACGATAACAATAAATTAACTGTAAGTAAGTAGAATTTCGACCTTATTTTCCATCATTACTCTCCTGCCGTCAATTCATCTTTCATATTGTTTTATTTTATAGTTTATATTCATGAATATTTACATAATACTTTAGAATTAATGAAAAACTAACTAGCCAACTAACTATTTGGTGAGTTTTGCATTTTCAATAAACTTTCGTATTGAGATCAGTAAAAAAAAAGGGGATATCAATCAAGTTAGGCATTGTTTCCATCTATCTATCTACGTATCTTGCCCTCATCAGTATTGGGTCTATGATTATTCAAACAGACCATATTAAACGCTTGGCGACGTGGAAACAGTTGCTCTATTGTTTTATTTAGTCAAACTAAGATAGTAATCCATCCTTTCTGTCTCTCTCTCTCTCTCTCTCTAACATATACTTTTGTTTTAGTCAATTCATTAAATTTTTGGCGGGTATTTAGAACATGACGGGGATTTTGATTGGTCAACATATAATTGATATACTACTAAATCTCTTCTACTTCCACATAAAGTTATATCATTCAACAGATGATTTACCTTCAAAGCTGAAAAAAGAAAAAGAAAAAATTACTTCATTCTATTTATTTATTCATGTCTACAGAAAGTATTCAATGAATCTCTGTGGAATAAAATCAGTACACTTACTGACGCTAATACACAGACATAAATTGATGTATTGAAAATGTTATATGTGGAACTACCACTTCGTATTATAATAACTGTAGAAGGATTTATTGGAACAATATTAAATTGTTTATCATTATTTATTGTATTTAATACACGATTCGGTTCAAAATCGACTACAGTATTGTTAAGATTACAGCCAATCTATGATATGATTGCATGTTTTCTTTATGCAATGTATACAGCAACAGAGAATGGTAAACCTACACAAATTCTATTCTTAGATAAATTATTATGTTATTTATGGTCTAATAATATTGCTTATTGGTTAGGTGTTGTACTGAGTGTACATAATATTATCTGTATTTCAATTGATCGTTTCATTGCTGTTCTCTTTCCAATAATCTATAAAAGGCATCAATTATTAATTATAATAATATTTATAATTTATCAATTATGTATGATTGGATTATTATTTGTACCAATTATCTTTTTTCGACTTTTTATCAGTGGTATATGTACTTATGTGACTGGACCAGCTGGGATTGATTCACGTGTATACATTGCTTTCAGAGGGTATACATGGTTAATATTTCAGTATATACTTCCATTGATCATTATTATCACATGTCATATATTGATTGTGATCAAATTGAGTAGGCGACAACATCATTCTATAGCTTGTTTACCAGTTAGTGTCTTTTCAAGTGTTACTATTACAACTACTACCACTACTACTACTACTACTAATAATAGTACTACTGCCACTACTAATCATGGTGTACAACGATATTCAGAGTCTGAATTAAATGATCATAAAAGACTAGTTGGATTAGTTATTATAACTGCATTAATGTCTGGTCAACAGGCAATTCTTCATTCTTATGAATTTATACGCTATTTTTTAACAATGCTAAATATTGTCATTTTTAGTTATGGTACAGTTGGACAACAAATGGGACCATTTCTTATCTTATTAAGTAGTTGTATTAATCCATGTATAATAATTGCTACTACAGTATCATTACGTAGACAATTTTCAAGTTATTTACATAAAATATTGTCTAAAATTAATAAAAGAAAATGTTAGAAAAAAATTCATCATATAGTTTATATTACATATTGACAAATTTCAAAAAGAGTATTTCGCGCCAATAAATGATGTTCAAGTGTTCAATGCATCGAAATACTTGTGTTTAAATGTATTCCGTTTGAAATTTAACTATTTATTATTATTATTATTGTAAATAAAATATTGTCTACTTTTCAACGGGATATAATTTGTTATTGAAAAGTGATTTTGTTATTTTAATATGGTCTAAGGTTACTTCAATGTACTTATAAAAGTCTATTCACTTGTTGTTTTATTTCTACTCAAATTCATAAACCAGTTAATTCTCTGGAAATTATTTAACTAACTATGAGTAGAATAGGTGATAAGCAATACATATTTAGTCAGGTCAGGTATATTGTAAGAGGAATTCATTCAGAAAATGTGTACCAGTCTTAATATTATGCTGACTGACCTCACCTTAAACACACTGAAAGCAGAATTGATGTCAAGGAGACATTTATGAAGAGCTATATGATGTCTGATGACCACTGATATAATTTGGAGTAAAAGCTGGACACTGTGATCGATTGTAATTCCATTTTAGTCTATTTATTAGTAATGTCACATACTGTGAAGGAACATTATCATTTACTGGATTACGTTTTGGACACAATCTATTATCCATATTCATATGAGGTAACTAACTCCACAACTTCGAGACAACGGTAGTAGAATTTTCCATATATCTGGGACAGGTGAACAATCATTGCTATTACTCCAGGTATTTGGTGTTGATTCGATAAACAAATATTTAGTCAGTTATCAATCCCCAAACCCGCACCCAAATATGTTAGTTTTTAACTCTGTCGCTCTATCCCATCCTACTGTGTGATTCTGTGTCATGGCATGCACAGCTATAGTCGAGCTCTTCTCTAAATTTTTTATCTTATTAGGATCTGCTAGTCTTGATTTGGATAAGATTTTGTGCTGTTATTCTAATCAACTCTAGTCGACTACTCTGACTAACCTATGCATTTGACCTGGCAATCATTGCAAAGGATTTTGTAAACCACATTGTTTTGCTTAATTGCATCAGTAGGATCTGTTCACCTGCAAACCTTGTTTCTGAGCGAGTTGGTTGGTTTAAATGCCACTTTAATCCCAACCAGCTCTGCTGAGAATTCCTCGTAATCCTTCTGAGGTGCATTCCTTGTGTGGTAACACAGTAGAGGCTTTGAATTCTCTCTTAACCCTGTCGCCATTACCACCACCGTTAAAAGTGGAGTTGTCATTATTAACACCTGTATTACTACCATTACTACTACTGCTAATATTTCTCTTTCGATTTCTTATGAATTTATTTAGAATTCTAGATGGGTGGTTATTGAGATGCAGGTATTCTTGATGTGTCTAATTTCCTGTTGTGGATTTTACTGGTCTACTCATAAGCTTTTTCGCATTAACTAAGCCTACTTTAACTGAGATGGGGTGGTAGGATTTGAAGTGTAAGTAGGGATTCGAATGGGAAGGTTTCCTATAGACGACACTCATCTCTAAACTTCAGTCTTCTGTTTGTTTAATCTTACAATCCAAGATTGCAAGCTCACCTTCATCACTTTATAAGTCACAGGTGAATTCGATTGTATTCAATACTGGACATATATGTGCCAACAACCTATTGATGTGTTCCGATTTCAATACTGGAAACGTATCATGGTAAGTCAATATTTCGTCTGATTACTTATTGGACCTAACACCACTGCTAAGTATTTACACAACTTGTAAGTTGGAGTGTTTCTCAAATCTACTGTAGGCCTGATGGGATAACCTTAGTAATACCACACATTCTACTGGGATTATTAGTTATCGGTATTAAATTAAACCACACTCATTGAAATCTATCTGTTATACAGTTAACGAGGTCATAGCAGTCAGCTTTACTGTAATTATTGATCTAACGCTTTACCACCTTAAAAAAGATTTCGTTTAACCAGTGATACGGTAAAATGTTCATGTTAAGTATTGTACTCTCAGAGTAAAATCCTTCTAATGAGCTTTGGGAACATCAAATTGAGGAATTATTCAACCGGATGGTTTTAATTATTCAAACAGCTCTACACTGATGATTGATTAATTCATCTCTTTCATCTTCTTCAAGACTTTTTGTCAACGTTCATTCTGTTCGTTTGTTCAGTTCAGTTCAATTCATCTACTAGCACAGATGGCAGTTAATCAGAATAATCACTGGGATTCACGAGAACTATGTCAGAGTCGTTGTCAGGAGAAATCAACAAAACTTCATTGTTATTTAAAGGTTCATTTAGATGAAATTATTCTTCTTTGGACAATACCCTCCTAGTATTTGGTTTTTTCACTTATATACTCAAGGCAACAGTTGAAAATCGTCAGTTTAATTTAATGATATAATTTGTATGGAACCTAATTTACTAAGTATTTAAGCGATTAACAGTAATTAATTAGATAAAATACTCAACCTTTAGGAATGATGCTCCAATTATTCGTTTGAAAGCACTGAAATTCTAAGAATTATACCTTACTCAATCCTTGAGAATACACCAGAGTAAGTTTTAGTCAGAACAAAATTATCAAGGAAATTCGCCGAGAACTCATTTCACCAGCATTGATATTTTGATAATGGTTGATAATTGAAGATGAAATGAAAGTCAGCCTCCGGGTTAGCGGGTCACTGATTCACCAACTGAACTACAAAGCCATATCTATTTCAAGTAGTCTTAATAATAAGATAATTTACTTAGTGATGGAATCTGGAAAGTGCATTTTATCGTATGCAGGACTTGTCCACTGGGTAAACTTGCACCACAGCAAGTGATTTTGTACCGGCTGGTGAGTTACAAGTAGCACGAAACGCGTGCCTTGGATTCCCCTGCTGGTCACAACCAAGTAGATCAGCCTTATAAATATTCAGACAATTGTGAAGCATCTGTACAGTAAGTTGTCTACCAACAGAGGTCGATCTGGTACATCAAAGAATAATTACAAGTAATCAAGAAGTGGTAATAACTTACATCAGTTAGAGGACCACTGAAACCTGGGAGCACTGGACAACCAGCTGTTCCATCCTAGTATGGGACTCCTCATCTCAAAAATATATTACTGTGTAGTGCTCATTACTGACTTGCTTCTTGATGGATATCACGAAGTTCTAATGAGAAGGTGTGACCTGTGGGATCAACTATTTGGAAGGGAAGTGGATGCCATCTGAAGACCTTGAATGATAGTCACGCTATATCGTGAATTGATAGAAGTTGGCAACTGTGAACTAATGAAACGTGAAGGTCCTGAGTTCAGTCCGTAACCAGGTAGTGAGTGCTTACTGCTGGGGAGTCGCATACTAGGATGGAACATCTGGCTGTCCAGTGCTTCTAGGTTTTCAGTGGTTCCCAAACTGATGTCAGTCCATGATGAATACTACTCCCAAGTTAAAAATCTCCATTAATCTCTAAAACACTTTGGTATCTGTTATTTTTGTACCACATACTTACAATAAGTTCATATTCTTCATGTATTGGCATTTATGACAAATGCGACCTCTATTTACCTCTGTCTAAAATATAACACACACACACACACGTACTCTCATACAGGCTTACATTCATGAATCGTACGTATCACTGCACGACGGTGTGAAGGATTAATAACCCTATTGAAAAACAATCATAATCCAGACACGATTGGACAACGAGATGAGCTTTACGATTTTCGACCTGTTATATATTTTATCTATGATAATGTAGATTTTAATAATCTTCCTTATAAAGCTTGGACCAGACTTCCATTCAAAACCCTAAAATTTCTTATTTTAAAGACGCTAAGATGTATCCAAGTATATAACTTATGTTTGATGTCAACTTTCAGTAGACGCCCAATATTTTTAAAACTATACGTTTAAGTCTTTACAAGGATTGAAATAGACTGATGATTTGTTGATCTGATTGATTATTTAAGACAGTCTTATTTCGATAGATTGAATTCAATGTAATGCGGTGGTAACTACGAAGCACAACTGAACCATTTGAGTAGTTAGATACCACTCAGGCTGATCTGTAGTATTTCACTAGCCATAACTAAGTGATCTAACCACCGGATAGCCGTTTTCGAGGAGGTTGTGGGGATTAAGAAATATTTAAAGCTGGTATTTATCCTCAATTGACATCAGTTGGAGGAACAATCGAAACCTGGGAGCACTGGACAGCTGTTTCTTCCTAGTATGGGACTCTTCAGCAGTGTGCATCCACGACCACACCAGGGATTGAACCAGCGACCTTCGGGTTCCGTGGCAAGCACGTTACCATTGAGCCACAACCTCCTCGAAATTCAATTGAACTGTTGCTTATTGGTGACCAATGGGTTTTGTTATACTACTCATCAGAAATTAATCCCTTTCTTTCTACTAAATTATCATATTATATATAGTCCTGAATATCAAATGAAGACGGTTTTCCAGTTTCACAGATCATATATCATTCTGAGATCTTTCTATGAATCAACAAAAGCATAGTGTACTGGGGAGAACAAGTATAATTTTGAAATAGGCTTATCCCATTATTTTTGTCATAGTAAACTTGATTACTTCACACACGAAGACACACATACACATACACCAGACGTATTTGATGCAAGATATCCTATAAATTAAAAAGGTACACTTTGTCCTCATTCAGTTGAGTAGTCATGCTTAAACAAAAAAACACGGTTGGTATACTTTAGTTTCAATGTTATAGTTTGTGAAGAGACAGATACTTCCGGCTGACGAGTTCCAAGTAGGGTGAAAAGAGCCTCCTTGATTCCACTGCTAGATAGTAACCATCAGTAATATCATTGTTGACTTCCAGTTGATAGTTGGCGTTTATGGAATTAGTAAGTAAGCCTTACTCAAGTGATTATCAGTAAGTTAAATCAACCACCTTCCAGATAACTGAAATAACAGCATTATTTCTCAAGTAAAGAAGTGAACAGAATGTACTGACATCACATGATATTCATCTTGGTGACTAGTATTGAAATCCAGGAAACGCATTTCGTCATCAGTTGGATTAACTCCTATCCCACTGCATCTCAAACTCAGTACTCAACACTTCAAACATCAAAGAGTTACCCCCCGGGAGTCCACTAAGGCTCGAGAACCAACTACTGTGGATTGGATATCATTTGTTGTTTAACGATACTTGTAGGTTCAGAACTGGATAAAATTGCTTGATCTC